TTGGATCTACTTTTCCCCAAAGGATTGTTTGAGCTTCACACTGAGCAAGGGATTCATCTCCACAAGATCTGTCGGCGTCAGCTCTTCCGTTCCTCAAGGAAAAAACTTAACCTGGGTAAACTCTGTCTGCCCTCCAACGAGCAAAACAATTTCTGGAACAACCCGCACCGACTGGATTCAAAGAAAGACACCTTTTCTGGAAACTCCCGGTTCGCCGGTGTTCAGAGCAGCACTGGACCCATCACTACCAGTTCTCAATAAACCTGTTAAACCTTAAAAAAAAAAAAAAAGTTTTTTTTTTTCTTACTGGCGACTAAATCAAAAACGTTAAACACTTGTTAAAAAGATAAAATGGTACCTACTCATGTACAGGAAGTGGGGTGTATTACAATATTAAACAATTAAATATGAAACGATTTTGCTATCAAATTAAAATAACTAAACTTGTTCCTGTTAGGAATCCAGTCTGTGTGGGTTGTGTTTTTGTTTGTTTTCCCTCCACCACCAGGTGGCGCCTCGTTCTTTTTGGTCCTCTCACACACCTGCGGGTGGTTGCCTCATTACCTGAGGAATCTTAAGCTGCTGACTGCCACTAGCTCGACGCCAGAGCGTTTGCCAGTTTTGGGGAGTCATCCTGCAAACTGGATGTTTTGGACCTTCTCCCTCTGGAAGGATCGTCTGAGCTTCAAACTGAGCTGAGGATTCAAACTGGAGGTTTGGATCTACTTTTCCCCAAAGGATTGTTTGAGCTTCACACTGAGCAAGGGATTCATCTCCACAAGATCTGTCGGCGTCAGCTCTTCCGTTCCTCAAGGAAAAAACTTAACCTGGGTAAACCCTGTCTACCCTCCAACGAGCAAACCAATTTCTGGAACAACCCGCACCGACTAGATTCAAAGAAAGACACCTTTTCTGGAAACTCCCGGTTTGCCGGTGTTCAGAGCAGCACTGGACCCATCCCTACCAGTTCTCAATAAACCTGTTAAACCTTAAAAAAAAAAAAAAAAAGTTTTTTTTTTCTTACTGGCGACTAAATCAAAAACGTTAAACACTTGTTAAACAGATAAAATGGTACCTACTCATGTACAGGAAGTGGGTTGTATTACAATACTAAACAATTAAATATGAAACGATTTTGCTAGCAAATTAAAATAACTAATTCATACAAGATACTTTTATAAATAAATAAAAAATAATGCAATGTGATTATGGGTTTATGTTGACTGAAATAGAGCTGTGCCCTTGCCTTTTTAGCACCACTCTCTTTGTTACTGTACTTTGCCTTAAAAATGTGTTACTAAACTTTTTCAAGCATGAGAAGGGTTCCTAATCCTCTACACCTCCTGATTTTAAGTCATAGTCAACACCGCTAAAAAAAAGAAAGAGATGGCCTCCCATGGGCGTAGGTTTGCATAAGGACCATAGGGACATGTCCCTACCAAAAGTTATGGACTGACCTACTTGTCCCTACCAACAATTAGATGTGAATAACATGTTTATAATTTACAATACAGCATTGTTGCAGTATTAGAGGACTTCTGTATGGAGAATACTGACAGACGAAATTTTTTTTTATCTAAAATGCAAAATTTGTATTTATTTTTTTACTATTTTGGTATAATTCCTGCTCTAAGTGGGTCACACTGTGAGCTAAACACATGTTTTAGAGTCTCTATACTCCAGCTAACGATTAATCGATTACTAAATTTGTTGACATTATTTCAATAATCGATTAATCCGATGAATTGTTTCAGCCCTAAATAAAACACATGAATTGGGTTAAACAGAGTAACTACAGCCTAGATGTACAACTTGTAGAGTGAAATTAATGTTCTAAATGCTCAGTGTCAGTTCCACTTCTAGTTCCAGTGCTCATGTAAATAAAATACATTTATTCGGCATCCCTTGAATCTATTATTTTATTTTATTTAATGATACAAAGAGAACATTTAAAAGATAAGAATGGGTTTTACCTCTGTTTACCTCTGCACAATGCTATACCTTCAAAAGAAAATACAGGATAAATCCACATATAACAGACATATTTAGACTATATTTGGTTAAATAGGCACAGATTTACCTACTGTCTTAGTTGCTGGTAATTTGGAGTGGAAAATAGTTCTAATTCCACATTCATCAGAGCCAGTGATGCTTCAAAAATTGACAAACAGCATCTAGTGTGTCGTAGTGCTCATAAAATTTGTATAAATGTAGCAAGAAATGCTGCTTTTCTCTTGAAATGAAATACAACCTGGTTTTCACGTCAAGCATAAAAAAACAAGCATGCATATTTTTGTCTAGGAACAACGACATCAGACCAACAGTTTCCCTACCAAAGGTGAAATCAAACCTACCAGTGTATTCTCATTATCAGTTCGTATGAAATCGTACCAAAAGTTATGCACAGTATTTCGTACGTTTTTGACGTTTTTTTCGTCGTATTTCGTCGTATTTTTACGTCTTGCCTCGAGACAAGATATCCTTGCGCATGCGCATCTTACTAACCATTCAATAACATAGAATTTAACATACAGTTAACCCTAACCCTGACCCTTAGCCCATTCCAGGGTGGTTTACCCTGACTCTGCTTCCTCCATTGAACTAAAAATTAATATACTTATCTTCAATTAATCATAACCTCCACCCTTATATTATATTATCAGTTCGTATGAAATCATACGAAAAGTTATGCACAGTATTTCGTACGTTTTGGACGTTTTTCCTCGAAAATACAGGTCAGTGCGCATGCGCAGCCAGACAGACGAAAAAAGCAGATCCGCGGACGGACGTAAAACTGGGACGGACAGTGCAATAATTACTTCATGATGTCTCTCACTAGGTTGCTTGCTGTTTTGTATCTTAGGGTTAGGGTCAGGGTTAATTGTATGTTAAATTCTATGTTATTGAATGGTGCATAAGATGAGCATGCGCAATGATATCTTGTCTCGAGGCGAGACGCAATACGACGAAATACGACGAAAAAAACGTACGAAATACTGTGCATAACTTTTCGTACAATGTCGTACGAACTGATAATGAGAATACACTGAAACATTATGCATGCTCCTATTTTTTTTTTAAATGCTTGACGTGAGCATCAGGGCACGTTTCATTTAAGAGAGAAAACAGGATTTTTTTACTACATTTATACAAATTTTATAAGCACTACACACAAGATGCTGTTTATCGATGCTTGAAGCATCAGTGGCTCAGAATAATGTAAAATTGGGACAACACAACACTTTTACATTTGAACTTACCAGTGAAGGTAAATACGTGCCTTTTTAACCAAATATAGTCTAAATATGTCTGTTGTATGTGTATTTATCGGATGTTTTCTTTTGAAGAAATAGAATTGTGCAGCGGCAAACAAAGGTAAAACCCACGCTTATTATTTTTATCTGATATGCTGATATTCTCTGAATTGAAAAAACAAAGCAAAATAAGATATTCAAGGGACTGCAAATAGATTTATTTTATTTATATGGGTGCGGGAACTATAAGAGGAAGTGACACTAATCATTTTAAATATTAACTTCAATATACAAGTTGTGAGGAAAGAAGTGACTGCTGCAGCCACACTGTATTGTAAACTATAAACATGTTATAATTATTGGTAGGGACAAGTAGGTCGGTGCCAAAATGTTGGTAGTGACATGTCCCTATGCAAACCTACGCCCATGCTTAGATGCATGGGCGGTTCTAGACAGTGGCCAACGGGGGCCAGGGCCCCTGTAGATCAAGTTCTGGCCCCTATTATGGCCCCTGTAATGAAGACATAATACTCAAAGAAATTCTAATGTTGATATGCGCTGAAACAGACATGGTTACTGATAGATCCTTTGGATCTATTCAACATATTCTCATTATTAGTGCGTATGAAATCGTACGTAAAGTTATGCACACTATTTCGTACATTTTGGACGTTTTTCCTCAAAAAAACACATCAGTGCGCATGCGCTGGCAGACAGAAAAAAAAAGCAGATCCGTGGACGGACGTAAAACTGGGATAAACGGTGCAATCATCACTTATTCATGTCTCTAACTAGGTTGCTTGCTGTTTTATATCTTAGGGTTAGGGTTAGGGCTAATTGCAATTTATATTCTATATTCGTGAATGGTGCGTCACATGCGCATACGACGAAAAAAACGTCCAAAACGTACGAAATTACGGTGCATAACTTTTCGTATGATTTCCTACACACTCATAATGAGAATAGGTTGATATATTTTATTTTTTTCTTTACAAATTCTTTTTTATTAACTGTTTAAAAACATAGTGGTATTGAGATAGGATCCCAGTTTTCATCTGCTAAATGTTTTTTTCCAAAACTTTTTAAAGCTAATTTTAACAGTTTTTCTTAAATTCTAATTCAGATTTTATAGGAAACTGTAATTTCAACTTAAATTAAGTAAAAAAAAAAGTAAAATTCCTAAATTCTGAATGTATATTGACCTATTAAGACATTTAGAATTTTAATGAAACCTAATTGAATAGAAATGACTTCATGTAGCTATCTTAATTTATTTGAATCCCTTGGCCTGTTTTTTTATTTCATGCTTTTCTGTGCCCCCATGAAAACACGCTGGCCCCCTCCCGGCCCCCCTGGTACATTTGGTCTAGAACCGCCACTGCTTAAATGATATGGGCATTTAACAGACAGATGCAAGCTTGATATATAGATGAAATGATGGTGTAGGCCCAGTGGCTTTATATTAGCTTAGAGAAACTCTCACATTAGGATTAGATCTTATGGCGCGAAATAACCTGGTTAATTCTTTGTATCTTTGTTGGTCAAAAAGCTAAAATCTGTTAGAGGATGTTGTTTTTTTTTCTAACCAACTCACACTTTAGAATGTATTTTCCATGACATGATGTCATCTCAAAATATTAGTTCACTGGATCAAGACAGGTGACATGGTGGAGGAATATATTCTAACACTGCAAGAGGGGTGCGTTGTGCCATTGTAAAAAAAAAAAAAAAAAGGTGGGAAATCCGCAGTAGATTGAGTGTGGATGCTGGATTCAACCTCTTCTTCAGCAGCATATAATGTAGCCTATTGTCGGAGCACCCCAAAGGAGAGATCGATCTCCTGCAACCTGTGCGCGCATGGCACGCATAGGACCGATACTGAGTGGAAGGCGGTGTTGTGGCTGTATATGGTGACGTCTTAAAGGCAGGTCTTGGTCAAACCTACCAATGGTACAAGTCGGTCCTACTCTGCTAGGACTGAGCGCAATGAATGGGTGTCGGAGCTCTACACGGCTAAGGAGCACCCGCAGCGCAACCAGGCGGATAAGGGGATGCGGCATCGGTACGCGGGAGCTGTCCATCAGCACCACATACCCGGCGAAAAGCAAGGAAGCAGCGAGCGGAGCCGAGAGCAAGTCGCTCCCGTTTTCAGCCTGCCGCCCCCGCCCTCTTCTCACCAGCGAGTCCGCACTTCAGCCACCGCCGCTCAGCGCCAGAGCCTCCAGGAGCTCCCGTGCGTGAGCCAGCCCTCCCGGAGAACGGTGCGCAGCGGCGACCCTCTGCCGCTGGCAAGCTACAGCACCGGCCGGCGACCTTCACGCCAAGGCGGCGAAACCGGTCAGCAGGATCCCTGGGCCCCGGACGGCTCCCAGCAGCCGCCGCCGCTGCAGTCAGAGAGGGAGGCTGTTTTTCCAAGCTGCCACTGCAGCTTTTCGGAGCAAGAAGCGAGCCTTTCTGATAACCGACCCCATCCTTGTCACCCTCTCCTCCCGAAACCCTCCCCACCGTTCCCACCACGCATACCGCCGCCGCCAACGTCTTCCTCCTCCTCTCTGCTCTTTTCCCGGGGATGTGAACGAGAGAACCGTCTCCGAAGGAGTGCCAATAATCACCAACAGGCGAACGCTGTGGAACGCTGCAGGGGAGGAGGAGGAGCAGGAGGGCACCAAGACCACAGACAGTTGTTGCAGCAACAGCAACATCACTGTCATTTAGGACTCCAACAGAGGGACCCCTCCCCTGAAGGAAGCTCACAAAAAGGGCGCTCTTTGGATGCATGCAAGTCAAACGAGGCTGAGAAAGCGTTTCAGTGTCAGACTCCGGATCTGCAGCAGCAACAGATCCCACAGTTGCGTGCGCAGCAACAGCTACTGGTGGGAAGCAGTCTGCCCGTCAACCACTGCGCAAGCGGCTCCGGAGAGCTATGTAGGACTCACCGGGATCCACTGCTGCAACAGCAGCTGCTGCAGCAGCAGCAGCACTGTGACAAAGATCGCAATAAGTGTGGAAGGATCACCGCGGAGGGCGGTCAGGCGCAGCAACACAGCCGCGGCTCCCGCGTAACCCCCCCTGCAGCACCGCCGCCGCCGCCGCGGCACACTTACGCGGGCAACTCGTCTGCTACTGGCAGCCACAGCAGCAGAGACAGCCCCAACTACGGCTCCAGCTATCACCTGTGGCCGGAGAGCCCGCATAAAGGAGAGGAGAGGATACGCATCGACCTCCATCAGGTAGCCTACATCCCTTCCTTTTTCCTTCACAGCTGCGCGCTAATTAGCTGATCCTGGCAACAAAACTAACTGCTGTTAGGTTTTCACTCAATGACCACGCCTGTCATATGATTTTGATAAAGAACAGGCTTCTCTGCGCGCGTGAGTGTGTGTGTGTGGTGCTTCACATTATTCCAGCGTCGACAAAAACACATTGATGTAAGTATTTCACATGTGATCCAGCATGTTGCGCGCGTGTGCTAATTGTCTCAATTGTTCAAGTGCGCGCACGAATAGACACCTAAAGAAAAAAGAAGAAGAAGCAATGGCGTTGTGTCACGCGCACACACCTGTTCCGTGTTGCAGGCTTGTTTTGGGGGCCCCCGCTGACAGCCGCTTAATGAAGCCGAATTACAGCGTGTTTGTTGGGGGATCAGAAATGTTCGCATTTCTGCCTCCCTGACATAAAAAAGAAAGGTTATACCAACACAGGCCTACACCTGCATGGGAGCCGGGCTAACTTCTTTCATTGACATTGAATATATTAAATGTTCTGCCTAGAAAGAGATAAGAAACTCAGAATTATTCGAAAGCTGAGGGAAATTAATAGAAACCGCACTAATATCTTGTACCTACGGAAGATGATTAGGGCCAGTGGGAAAAAAAAAGTTAACTGATTTTTAAATTTTATTCGGTTAGGTATGGGAAAAAAGTATTCTGAGTATTCCTCAGAATTCTGACTTTTTTCCTCAGAATTCTGACTTTTTTCCTCAGAATTCTGACTTTTTTCCTCAGAATTCTGACTTTAATCTCAGAATTCTGACTTTAATCTCAGAATTCTGACTTTAATCTCATAATTCTGACTTTAATCTCAGAATTCTGACTTTAATCTCAGAATTCTGACTTTAATCTCAGAATTCTGACTTTTTTTCTCAGAATTCTGACTTTTTTCCTCAGAATTCTGACTTTTTTCCTCAGAATTCTGACTTTTTTCTCAGAATTCTGACTTTTTTCCTCAGAATTCTGACTTTTCTCCTCAGAATACAGACTTTTTTCTCAGAATTCTGACTTTTTTCTCAGAATTCTGACTTTTTCCCTCAGAAATCTGACTTTTTTCTCAGAATTCTGACTTTTTTTCTCAGAATTCTGACTTTTTTTCTCAAAATTCTGACTTTAATCTAAGAATTCTGACTTTAATCTCAGAATTCTGACTTTTTTCCTCAAAATTCTGACTTTAATCTCAGAATTCTGACTTTTTTTCTCAAAATTCTGACTTTTTTCTCAGAATTCTGACTTTTTTTCTCAAAATTCTGACTTTAATCTCAGAATTCTGACTTTTTTTCTCAAAATTCTGACTTTAATCTCAGAATTCTGACTTTTTTTCTCAAAATTCTGACTTTAATCTCAGAATTCTGACATTAAAGTCAGAATTCTGACTTTTTTCCCATGTTAAACTGGAATAAAATTTAAAAAACAGTTAACTGTTTTTTTTTTCAGTGGCCCTAATCCTCTTCCGTACTCCATGTACATTTCTTTACCTAAATATTTCAAAATAGACAAACATAACATTGATAAATAGGCACAAAAAAACCAAACATCTTTCAAACTATGTTTTCGATTCATCAAGGCATAAAACAAACTGTCCATATCAACCAGTCTAAAAAAAAAAGCTATTATCTCCCAATAAGTTATTCACTTATTATGACTTTATGAAGTTTGTTAATACAAACAAGCAAAAAAGCTAAATAAAAAAAAAACAGCAGAACCAAACAGATTGAGGCTGGTATATATAGATATATTTATATTACCAAACATATATATATATATAATTCTTAAAGGGTATAGACATTAGAGGAAACTGATTTTCAGGGTTTCCTTTGGACGCTTATATGTCTCTGAAGAGTAATTTACCTGTCATTACTAATTTAGACTCAAATCACTTATTTTCAGTGCAGTTAGTGAATATTTTAGTAAACAATCTATTGAGTATTTTTTCAGTCAATCTGAAGAGAGACACTGCCAGTAGACTAACATTTCTAAACAAACTGATTTTGAATATAGAAAAAAAATGACACAAATGGCACATTTTAGTAAAAATTCAAAGATGCACAAAATATTAAATGCCTAATATAACACAAAGAGTTAATCTTTTATAGAACAGTTTCATTTATTTTATGTTTATAGTTCCTGTTTGTGGAGTTTTGTTTTAATTACTGCTGTAAATCGGTTATTTTTTCAGCAAACAGTGTGTATCTGTAGTGTATGCAATGATTAGACTTAATTACAAATTAGTTGATGAATATTTCAATAATTGATTAAAACTATTTATCCGATTAATTGTTTTTGCTTCACTCAGATCCCTTCCACACCTTTAAATACTCATATTTATTCAGCCTTATTTATGTAGCTGCAGCCATCAAACTGAGCAGCTCTGCAAGAAGCAAATTTTGTCTGCTTAAAAGTTGTTTTTTCCCCATAGTGCTAATAGGGAAAAGACATTTTATTGCAGAAAGGTGATTGCTTGTCTGTCCTTAAGCGTTCTGAGGATGCTGGACAGGTAGTTTCTATGCCAAATGCAGCACTGTGTCCTTCAGAGACTGGAAAACAACAACCGACAAAAAGACCCACATCATCCTTCAGGTGATCCATCCTGAATGGCAAAATTCCAGGGAACAAACCTTTGTAGGTATAAACTTTATAACTGGTACAGCTGAATAAAAAGAAATTACATCATTTCTTTAGCAGTGTGTTTGTAAAATTATTAGTTAATGGTTATGCATGTTTTTATTTCATTTTTTTAATGCTAGATTATTGTTAAACCAAAGGAACAAAGCCTAGAATGTATATGAATTAAATTAGTGTAACTCTGATTAACGTTTTAGCAACTAGGCCTTTGAAATAATTGTGAATTACTCAAAACTCAGCTAGATGTAGTGAACATGTAGGTCCCAGCAGTGGCGTGCACAGACTTTCTGAAATCAAGGGCAGAAGGAAAACAAAAGGGCACATATAGCACATCCGCGCCACTGTGGAGCATGCATGTATTCAATTAATTTTATTTCAATTCAGTTAATTTATATAGCGTCAATTCACAACACACGTCATCTCAAGGCACTTTAAAGAGACATTTCAGTCCGATCATCCTGTCAGATTGGTGAAAGGATTTATATGTAAAGTAAACTAGTTCCTGCATCCAGTCTTTGACTTTGAAGGATTAGCTCCTCCAAGATGAGCTTGTGACGTCAATGGATATTCGCTTTTATTGTGTTGTTGACCCTACAACAATCCATCACATCAAGCATGGATGCAGGGATGGTGGAGAAGAAAAACTTGCTTTTGCAGGAAGAAACCAGGCACAGTGTTAGCAGCCTCCGTCTGAGGCCGACTAGGTTTCAAGGAGACATCTGCTACAACTGCTAACTGCTACAACAATATTAAGTTGCCAGTATACCTATTATATGCATCCTATGGAAGCTGAGAGAGGTCATATTCGCATCTTTTTTCCCCCTTTGCCTTCTCAATAAAATGGCACAATTATCACGGTAAAACCATTCATTGTTTTCTCGAGATAACAAGGTAATTATCGTTATTAGGAGAAAACAGTTATTGATTTCTTGAAATAACGAGATGATTGACCTTTATGAGTAATAAATGAGGCTGACCAACAGCCCTGGATTCCCAGTCCATCCATGCCTGAGATGCCCGTAGTCAGAGGTGGAAAAAGTACTAAAATATCATACTCAAGTAAAAGTACCAATACTTGGATGAAATATTACTCAAGTACAAGTAAAATTACCCATCAGAAAAATTACTCAAGTAAAAGTAATACGTAGCTAATTTAAAATGTATTTTAAGTAAAAGTTACTTAGTTACATAAAAAAATAACTCTTGAACGGGGCAGGAGATCTCTCCCATGTAGTGAAAATAGGACAAGGAGTCATAAATCCAAAACTATTTAGTTTTTATCCATACAAATGTATACACATGTAATGACAAGATAACACGTGTCACACATGACATTTAAGACCCTTAGAAAGGTATAATGTGCAATTTTAGTTCAGACCATCCCATAAAACTTTTTCAAACAATCAATTGAAGGTAAAAGTGCCATAAATTGTTGGTTCTGAGGGCCGTCCTTCTTTTCTTCAAACATTAACAACAATACTTAGTTTATTTTTTATTTTTAGCAATTTATTTTCCCAAGCCACTCAGAGCCGCAGTATAAGGATGAAAGAGCCGCATGTGGATCCGGAGCCGCGGGTTGCCGACCCCTGTGCTAGACAAAATCAGCAATGCCACGAAACAGGTCGTTTTGCTAATTGCTTATTAGTCATGAAAACTTTGTTTGTAGTACCAATGCACTAAATACTTACCAAAACATGCTTCCGCAGATTAGATGTGGAGTTATTGAATGCTGCCAGTTCAGTCACCTTTGGCAGACACATCTGGCATTGCATGATGATACTGTTGGCCCTCTTGAATTTAAATGAAAAGCAGTCTTTCAAATGTGGCGAAGGATTTTCGTCGTTTTGGGCAGCAGAATTGGATGTTTCAGCTAGCATTTCTAGTGAAACGTTCTCTGAACCGTCGTCGCTCTCCTGATCCACCTCCATCTCGTTCCCAATCTCCTACAGAAAGACTTGGCGCCTGGTAGCCTAGATCTACATGCTGATCACGTCACTCACTGTAGCGCTTCCGGGCCTGATTTTTTGTCTTCCTTTCGGTTTTCCAAAGTTTTTGTAATGTAACGAAATACAATACTTCACTCAAAACGTTATCAAGTAAAATTTAAATTACAGATTTTAAAAACTACTTGAAAAACACAAAATACACAAACAACCTACTCAATACAGTAACTTGAGTAAATGTATTTCGTAACTTTCCACCTCTGCCCGTAGTTGTGCAGTTGCCGTACCGCATGTTCTCAAATAATCAGTCTTTTAGTTTCTTTTTTCTTTTCACTCATTTTCAGGTCGTTGTGGAAGACTGGATTGCATGGGATACACTAAAAACAAATCAGA